CCATAGACTTGATAGTCAGTTCCATAATTATATAGACTTGATAATCATCGCACGCATAGAAATAATGCAGGGCACTGCCATTTAATATTTATATTTATTTCTGTTTAAATATCACAATTGCAAAAGAACTTGGTAATAACATAACTTATAAATAATTGTTGGTATCATAATTACCCATTCTTATGAAGAAAAGTATTTATATGTGGGGGGATGAATAAGATTAATGTGTGCTAATTCAATGTTCTCCCTGAGAGTTTGGAAAAGCAGTGGAAATATTTTGGTTTGTATCTGAAAAAATTTTTAAATTTTTATACTATAAGAATATGCCATGCTTCATTTTGGAGTCCTGAAAGCATTTAAAGCGTAGTAAAACTTTTGAATGGATAAGGCATCTAAATTCTCGCTCAAAAAGTATATTTATCTTGATAACCATTCTACATTTCTGTCATATGATTGACAAAATGTTGGTATTTAGCCATTAAAGATGATTTCCAGTCCGTACTGTGCACTCTCAAGAGTTTGTTGTCCTTTTTCGTTTTGTTTCATGTAAGACTTCACAAAATGTAACATTTTGTAACTACTTGGGTGAAGTAAATATTTCAAAGTTTCATGTCAACTGCCATAATGGATGCGAAGCTTTATGCTTCGTTCTTTCTCCTCTCACTTCATGGAACAACTTTGCAGCTGTAAAAATCAATGAATCTGTTGGAAAAAGAATTTGAAAGGCCTCAAAGAAAAGGTATGTGGTTTGCAACAAATTATATCAATTTGCATTTGATCGAGTGAGACACATAAACATTATGGTGCTGAGACTGTGCAGTATGGACTGGAAATCATCTTTAACAGGGTGCTTTGGTTTCCTTATATTGAAGCAATAGAGTACTTTTTCAGTGTTAAGACTTTACATAGCCCCATCTAAACATTAGGGGGATATGAATAATCTAAGACAGTTATGCAAACTTGAGATGCAGTCGAAGGTTTGTATAACTCTTGAGAATTTCCCAATTCCCCCCTCCCCCGACCCTGAGTGTCTTGATGAGGCTTTGTAAACACTGAAAATGTCCTCCATTGCTTTTATAAAATATTTCTCGGGAAACACAGAGAGTGTGATGTCACAAATGTGTTTACATTCTCTCATCTAAACACAGCTATCGACCAATGAGGGTGCGGGTAGAATCTCAGTTATTTTATAAATTAAGTTATATAGATACGAATGGTGCCAAAGGGAGGGGCACCTCACTGCACTTGAGCTGTTTTGGTCTGAGGAAGGGTGTGATTTGTGGTGAGCGTTTAGGTATAATTCGTAGACAAAACTATTTCCATAATAATTATTGTTTTCATTTGGTTCTTGCAAAGTATGATGTAATTCGAGGAATTCAAAGGCCTTTTCAAATGTTTTTACAAACGAAAGCATTTCCTGAGCAAGATCCAGTCTGAGATAGGGTATCGAGTTTTGGAGCGGTCTGAAATAGGGGACGGAAACGTGGCTTTTTCGGTGAATCTCATAATAGTTTATTCTGTTTGTTTTGTGCGCGCAAGGTTGATCAAGTAAACTTATTTTGCTTGGACGTGTATATGTCTTTATTTGTTTTGTCTTGTTTTCTTTTTGTTTCAATTCCTCTTCGTTATCGTTGCCCTGGGAAGTTCTCCCCTCTTGACAAGAGAATGACGAAGAACAAACAAATAAAATTCATGAT